TATGGCCTCACATCAGCAATTTTTTTTTCCTAACGGCTTTAAAAAGATGAGGGTTGGCCCAGCACTCCGTCTCTTCAAGGAGGAGGTGCTAAGAGGCCTCTTTTTTTAACCGCAAGAAAATTGAAAGGTCATATGGCCCAGCGGAATATACTAATGTCATTTATCCTGAAGATGTCGAAGCTCATCAAGATCATGACCTCACGTTGGAGAATGTAGAGGTACAAAACGCCATAGGCGCCGACTACGGGGAAGCTCGGGAGCCCCCCTCTCCCGAGCTCTTGGGAAAACCAAGTACCATCGCCTCCGGAATCTTTGGGTACACCTCATTAATCTCATCTGTGCGCTAACGCCCAGTGTATAATTAAAAATTTATCTGTGTGCCCTTATGCCTACACATATCAATATAGCTGGTGCTCAATGGATAAATAAGAATTTATACACTGTGGTTACTACCAGAGCTGGCGAGTGGATACATTTCCCTAACTATTCGCACAGTCCTGTTTGAAGACCCTACGTAGTAACAAAAAAATACGATAAAGGCTAGTGCTGGAAATTCCTTCGAAAGCCGGGGAAGTAGTTGCGAAAGTCGACAGTGGCACCTCCATGCAGCCTACGGAAGTAGACGATATAATCCGTTTTGTAAGCCCCATTTTGTTTTCTTAAACGTTGAAACAATTCATTAGGGTAGTGCGCTTCAACCACGGATTTCATTGATCACAACTACAGTGACAGCGAAATTATGGGGTCACAAAAGCAGACATTTATTTAGGCATCATGCCATCAGCATGCTTATCGTACGTTATCCAGGGGATTACACACGCTTGGGACGTCTCTTTCAAGAGACTTCCCGAACGTTTCCCTGGGGGATGGATTTCCCGCAGCTATTCAGAACGCAACATTGTTAGCGCGAACAAGCGATCGCCGGTTTTTCTATGAGAAACCAAAGGATCTCAACAAAGTTCTAATTGCTGGAAAAAAAGCTCATTCGGCTCTATAATGCAGGTGATAAAAGTTCGTCCTCACTAATACTCTTTCGAAGTAAATGCGAGAAAGCGCCATGTCTTGTTCGCGCTAGCAGTGTCGCGATGTGTACTGTGGCGTCCTGCCCGAAGATGCACGTCTCGGGCAAAGCATTTGGCAACGAATTAGTGTGATAAATAATATGTGAAACAGCAGAAATAAAGAATACCGTAAAGAGTCAGCCAAACAATACGAAACAATCGAACCCGTGCGGAACGCCAAGCCAGCCAAGCGCTACAGCTGCCTGTGCTCCGCACTCCGGCAGCACGCCTACTACACGTTGCGCCCTCTCGCGGCCACCGATCCGGTCATCGCTGAAAGAGCCCGCCCTCCGCCGGCGCTCGCTACACTGCCCAGTCTTCTAGTACACCATAATGTAACCATTCAGGCCTCGCATTAAAAGGTGTTGCGAACTCTTCGGTTGTTCTAGTTAATTGTGCTAAAAAGCGGTTGGATGGAAAGTATGACAACTACAGCATATACAAGGGACGATTGAGGTCTTTATCCTGCGTTCTATGTGTCGAAACATCGGTATCCTTGGTGTTATATTGTGATCAGCTGGTCGCCGATCGTCCTGTTTTTATGCATAATGTAAACAAGCCCCGGAAGCGCCAATCTCATTTCGATGTGCTTGTGCACCCCTACAAGCCTCGTTTTGGCTCTTGTGGAAAGCTTCATTGTAATAGCAATAGTCTCATCGGTCATTCGAGTTGTATGTGCCATGGTGATATCTGCTGACAAACAAGTCTGTATTAAATGCGAGGAGAACGAAGGTAAAGCTTTTTTAACTGTTTTCTTTTTACAGAATAGGGCAAAGCTTCTGAAACAAGAGCAACCTAAGCTGATATTTGAGTGTGCTCAGGAATGAATGGCAAAAGGTGCTTATGCTAAGTGGTAGATGTACGCAGTTGATTTTCTGTTTGCATCTGCATTGTAAATTAGAAGATATGTATCAGCAGAAGACACGTGTCCTTTTGAAAATGTTGTTTATTATGGCAAAAATAGGTTTTCATACACAACCGAAGAGTTCGCAACACCATTTAATGCGAGGCCTGAATGGTTACATCACCTAAGCAACGTCAACAAAAATGTTTGTAGCGTAGACCGAGAAATCTAGGTTTAGATAATTATGCGTCATAGTTTCAGCCTCAAACACGCAATATTGTTGATATGTACCTATCTTGATGTCAACTGTACCAACGTGAGAGAGCCCACGTCGTCGAACACTTGCACACATATCTTGACTATGGTATGGCAAGATTTCTTGCTTCAAGTGAAGATCATCTCGCTACGACTAGCTATGACCACCCACCGCAGCGATGCAGGCGTCGAAGGGGCGCAACGCAGTCAGTCGCTGTCACCCGATGCTGCTCGTTTGGCATTCACGTCTTTCCGCCAGGTGCTTCGTTTGTACTTGGCACCGAGTGTTATTTTCTGTGTTTGTGTGTGCTCAGTGGCTGGATATGGGCCTCAAGAGCAGTTCTTCAGGCTCAATAGCGTTCGCCGAAGAACTTCTGAAGAAAATGCCACCCACGAAAAAAAGCACAAAGACGCAACGCACCAGCTGGGCGGACTATGCACTGGGTGCGGAGATCGGGCCCTGCGGATTATAGACCAAATGCAATCTATCTAAACAAAACAAAAACAATTTTAGGCTCAAATTGGCCTCTGAGGACTATACGCCTGGAAACTGGTGCCTGTTATTATGCATTGTATATTCACTGCTGTTTGTTGTGGCTTGAGACTGCCTTCCTGTAATGATGCAGAGGGGTCCATTGAACCTTGAAATAAAGATATTCAAGCACATCTAGATGCAATGTCCCTTGAACCCTGATGGTCCTGGAAAAGGTGTGCCATTACCTAATTCGCCAACAGCACACCAATGGTCACGATCAAAACTCACCGAGTCAATGGGCAGTTTTCCACCACAATATTTATTGCCGTGTAATCACCAATTTGGTCTATTAAAAATCTTGAGGCTGTAGCCTATAGCATATCCATTCTGGATCTGCAAAGCTTATGCTGTAGACATGAATCATCACACGGGCACGTTTCTTATCAATCTTAAACGTAAAACGCTAGTTATGAGACGAAATTGCCATATCATCACATTTTTAGCAAATCGAATGGTCCGACCTGTCACACTGTTAGCTTTGGAAGTAAACCAATTCACAATACCACCAGTGGCATACATCGTGCCAAGCATTAGTGCCACATGTGGCACAAAAATGTCCTAACTAGGGAAGGAAGCTTAATCGATCGTGTTGATTAAAGCACTAAAGTACGGGAGAAGTCATCAATCAAGGAAGGTCACTCGAAAGGAAAATTCTGTCGCTGAACGAATATGACTTTTTATTAGGCGTTCCACAATGTAAGGCAACTCCGTGATCGGTATACAAGCATTTGCTTAGCAGTCGGTCGTGCGTGCTAAAAACAACAACAAAAACAAAGGTGGATTGAAAACGCGATAGATTCGCCTTTGAGCTGAGTACTTACACTCAAAATCGTGTCAACATAAAGCGACTATGGCCCACCTTGCTAGCAGCAATCTTAAAATTTATCCGTGTAGTCGTCGCACCAGGTGGTTCCCGTTTCGACCCATTCCCAAAACAACCGTCCCGTTTGTTCCTTCCCGTTTCGACCCGTCTCAAAACAACCTTCCCGTTTCATCCTTTCCCATTTCGCCCTTTCCCGAAACAACCTTCCCGCTTCGGCCGTCGTTTGGTTAGTTTGTATTGCTCGTTAACAGTTGATTAGGTTCAAGTGTCCAGTGTCTGTTCTCCTTGCTCACAACACAACACGATCTTGGCAATCGCCAAGATCGTGTTCGTGGTAACGTTGTCGCGCAGTGTACATAGTCCATTTTGTAATTACACATTTTGGGGACCATCTTGAAAGAAACATTTTAAGTGGTTCAAGTAGAAATATATTTTCTTGAAGCTTGTCTGAAAGTATTGCGTATTTCAATAATACGTTTACAAGCAAAAATATATCACAACATAACTGAATTGCTCGCTTGCACCTTTGTATTAATTGCATTAACATGATTTCGGGACATATTCTTAAGCAGAAAAACTGCGCAAACCAAGGTTAGAACGATGGACACTTTTTGCGAAGAGGTTGAGATGCGCGGGGTTTTATACCAATTAACGGTTTCAAACGGGACGAATTCAAACGTAAAATGTCTTGGCTACTACAGGTTCAAAGTTGAAGGCGGTTCGGGAACGGATTGAAACGGGACAGGTTCAAACGGGAAGGTTGTTTCGGGAATGGGTCGAAACGGGACGGATTCAAACGGGAAGGTCGTTTCGGGAATGGGTCAAAACGGGACGGGTTCAAACGGGAATGGGTTGTTTCGGGCTACACCCGTCGCACCCGTGCACCAACCGAAAGCGTTGCTGCAAGCCCCTCCGCCGTAAACTTTGAGTCGATGTTGAGTCTGAAGAACTACTCTATGAGGTCCATATCTAGCCACTGAGCACATACACAAGCACAGGAAATAATACTCGGTTCCAAGTACAAGTGAAGAACCCGGGGCGGAAAGCCCCGAGTGCCAAACGAGCTGCGTCGGGCGATGGCGACTGACTGCGTAGTACACAGGTTGCTCTACTTCGACGCCTGCATCGCTGCGGCGGGTGGTCGCAGCTAGTCGTAGCAGATCGTGTCACCTCTGTTGCTCGTACCGGAACACTAGAGCCGCGTAATATTCTTGCTGCCGAAGTTTATAAGCCTACGTTCGCGGCCAACGAATTTACACAAAAACCAACGCCCAGCGAACCTATCCCCTTCGTTCTCTTTCGGCGACCGGCCGCCAGGGCGGTGACACCGTCGCTGGAACTCCTCATTGGCTCACGAGAGGTAGTAACAATAAGCAGAGTCCGACCGTCCCACAAGGTGGGAGAACCGGTAAAACAATCGAGTTTAGAAAGTTTGTTTTTGTATTAACGCCAGGGAAGCACAGCAAGGCAGTGTGTACTCACATTTTGCGTTTTCCAAACCACACGGCAGCTGTGACGAACGCCGCTTACGCATGTCCATTTCAGCGTCGGGCGACGACGATCCCTTCAAGAAGTGATCACCGAACGTTCCAGCACAACTCCGTCTGTCCCGCCTCGCTTCACCTTGCCATTCTTGTGGCTTCGTGCTACACCGATTTCCGGCCTAGAAAAAACGATGTGTGAATGATAAGAAATCTATATTATCCTGTAAAAGGGTATCAGTTTCTCTAACAAAAAAAAACACACACACACAAAAAGAGACTGAATCAATACGGTGTGCAATTTCGTATGCTCCTTGCGCACGTCCAAGCGTTTGCTTACCCCCCCCCCCCCCCAACCCTCCCCCCTCCCCCCCCCCCCCCCCAAAAAAAAAAAAGAAAATTAGAAGAATCCGCCCCCGTGCGTGTGTTGTTTTTTTTTCGACCTCAACCGATGACGGCGCGAGCTTGGCTGCTTCGTCATCGCGCGCTTTCTCCGTGTTTTTGATGCTTCCCCTTCATTTGCGTGCCCCTCTTTGCATTTCAATACGTCAAAAACGCGTTTTAGAACGCTTGCTCGCCGTATAGCTCCGACAATCGGATAAACCATTCCCAATACTATATATGGGCTACAAAAGCTCAGAAAGATGTTGCGCTTTTAACGAAGATGGCGGGACTAAAGGCCCTTTCAGTCGTCTTGATTTAATATTTGTTCTGGATATTAGAAATAAAAAAACGATGAAAATCTTATTGCAGGTATAATGTTATAATGTTTTCTTCCTTTTTTTTTTTCTCCCAGGTGATCCAGTAAAACGATTTATCGCTACATTTAACCATGAATTTCGTGATATGCGGAACACGTAAAAGAAAAATTCCGCTTAAAGTTCGAACGAAAACCAATAACTGATATAGATTTAGTGGTACTCGTGCATATATTGTTATTACAAAAATGTCACGCCAAAAGGGTGCCGTATATCTGTGCATGAACCTGCAGTACATATTCTCTCATCGGCTCCTTAGCAAGCCTTCAGAGGGTCGGCTGCTATGGAAGTAACTCCGAGTAAAGTTCTTTAATATCCGTACAGTCGGTATTTTGTTTGACTTGTTCGTTTTTCTATCCTTCGGTTTTGATCAACAATATTTGGGACATTAATCATAACACTCGTAGTTTAAATGCACGTTACTCAACTGCCTTCTAATTAATCAAACAAAAGACTATGCAAGCACATCAGTGATTTCGTGAAATCATCTTAATTAATAAATGTTGGCAAGGTAAGATTACATTGATGCGTTCACAATTTAGTGCATAATAATTTTGGTTGGAGACGAAACCGCGAGATCTTCGAATGATAAAAGTTCAAGAAGTATCTGGGTGATCAAGTGACCATACAATGCATCTATACACTACATAGAGCATACTTTCTAAAACACTTACTACGGATCCCCAGGTGGCGGGTTCGAATCCCGACCGAGGTGCCCGCAATCTGACGGAGGCTCATTGCGGAGGAGGCGCCGTGTAACCGAGCTTTCGGTTGCACGTCAAAAGATCCCCAGGTGGTCGAAATTAATCCTCAGTCCTCCGCTGGAGCGTGCCAGATGCCCGTCGTAGGTTTGGCACGTAAATCACCCAAAATTTTTGTCTAAAACACTTAGCCTGGAGGCTGGTGAAATATATAAGTATAGTGACCGTGATCTCCCGTCACATGTGTGATTCAGCAAGAAAATTGTAGCAAAATATGGTACGTCTAATCTTAACTCTGAATAAATTTAAACACAGTACCCCTGTTTTACGGGCATCTAGACGGCCTTTAAAGCAAACCCTTTCAAATGATAGGTGAATCAACTCCCGACCGCGACCAAGCACGTGCCCATTTGCGTTTGTTGGCTCACCGAATTTTGAAGGAGTTTGCACTGAAAGCACTTAAAGTGCCCGTAAGCCTGAAAGTTCGTTTCATTGCGGTTAATAAGCACAAGAGCTCGGTCTGTATGATTGACTCGTCAAACACATTAACATGTAATTCTCAAAGCATTACAAATGTTGCATTTCTGTACGTTAATTAGTCTCAAATTCATCGACGCGTACTTATACATTTGTTTCACATTCAAAAATATGTATCTTAATTTTTTTTTAAGTCCTTACGGTAGAGAAGCGCACACCCTTTTTGTCTCTGATGTCTACCAAGCGCATCAAATAGAATAGGCGTGTTTTAAACCCACTACAATACATAACATGACGAAAAATCAAGGTTGCTCCATCGCGCAGTCCGGTCAAGAAATTTGACTGGACGCACCTGCATGACATTAGGCGTGACCACCCAAAGTTACTGATTTCGTGGGAATTCGTGGGAACGAAAACCCGTTCCTTGGTTCCTTGTCTCTATGGGAACGAAAGAGTTGCAGTGCAAAGTTTAATAAGTGTGAAGGAACGTTTACCGTTGCAGTTTCAAAGAATGTGAAGTATTCTCATTATTAAGCCTCCCCCCCCCCCCCCCCCCCCCATCTCCAACAATGCCTTCAAACGGTTTATCTCGTGATAGAATAAGTCTAATCCAGACAAAACAAGATGCACGTACCCTCATACCGGGAAAACTACCAACACTAAGCACTTCTATCCCAGAAAGACCAACAAAGCAAGCAAAGCTGCCGCCGAAATTGAACATTTTCTGAATACTCGCTATACCGGAATGATAAATATCGCTGAACGTGCGTACTCGTTTCACCATAAGTGCAAGCGCAGTCAACGATTAACAGACATACAACACACACACACACTCACACAACAAAATAAAAGGTCAAGGCGTATGCACTGTTCTTGACTGGCTCGACCGCACACATACAAAAAGGCGACAACGGCGTGACATGGCGTTTTTCGCACTGCTCCATTGGCCCCATTTGTGCGTAGGTTCGGCGGCGCTCAGACTTCTGTTCTGCATGGTGAAACCAAATATATATATGTAAATGTTTTTGGCTTCGACTCTTACAAAATTCATATCACGTGTTGTAGCACAATCACTGAATATGAACAATCAGTAAAAAACTTTACTTTCGTTATAAAAGTTCAACCATTAAACCAGAGTATATTTCTTTTCTCTTGTAGCTTTCTAACTTTTCCGGGTTCGGTCACGTTCCCGAACGGTAACAAAATATCGCCAACCGAATTCGCTTCATGAATAACACGAGCACTGCGTCGTCGATCCGATCGATGGCATTGAAAAAGCTGGAAAATATTCATTTTCATGTTGTGGATCAATCAGGGCAGTTAAGAAAGTGGAATCCCCCCTAACACTGTCTGGAGAGTAGTACGCTAATTCATGCGCGTGGCATGTGATGAACACTGGCGGCACAAACCGGCAACAGGTATTGCTTACAACCTTCAGTGGCAAACCAAAAGAGGTGCAGAGAATACGTGCATAGACTTGATCGACCCTTTAAAAACATCAGCATCTGAATCGGGAAACGAAAAACTTTACAATCGATGAACGCATGATCATTTAAGGGCCGTTTACAGAGTGTAGCGTTTGACTGACCACGTTCCGGGTTCATATGTCAAGAGTTACCGTGAAATGTGTGCTTTGAATTTCATGAATGTAGATTGGTACGCGGCGTTAGGGCGCGCGAATGTGTCTTTGTTTCTCAATGTAACGTATGCCAACGTAGTCAAACACGGCTGTGCATATGAACCTTAATTTTCGTGGTCTCCAGGAACCAGTATCGATATTTGAACAAAAAAAAAACGTAAAGAATTCCCGATCTGGTACCGCCAATGAGACATTACGGATGCATTTTTTTTGTTCCATCATAAAGGAACGCATTCCCTAAAACAGCGTTCCGTGACAACAGTGCTCGTCAGAGCTGTACTTGCCTTTTTGGGACGTATCCGGGTCCCGGCCCTCGACTGGAACGGCCGTTGAAGGCAGCGCTGCCGATATGCCTCACCTGCAAACCGCAGGCCCCTGCTCACAGGACACAGTCGCCGATAAGATAAAAAGCACGACGGCGCGGTCGTTTCCGATATCGCTCGCTTGATGTCAACATTGGGAGTAACCGATGTCGTGGCGTATCCAGCGTGCACTTGGCATCAGTGGTGTTTTTCTGGCTCTTGCTCGAATTTCTTTCGAACACAACGGAGGAACAAAGGAAGTGTTTTGGGGTTTCCCATTGAAGCAAGACGTATAATAGTTCAAGTCGTCAAGGTCTTAGCATGTTACCTAAACCAAGGGGTTGAAACATCTACCTTTCACTTGACAAGGATGGTACTGTGTTTCTTTTGACGTGGCAAAGTCTTGCCCGAAGGGGTCCTTGTACAAAACGTAATGCAGAATTGTTTTATTGACACATGTACATTTGTGCTGTGGCACGTTGGCCAGATATAAAAAACAGTTAATTTTTGTCACCGAAAAAAAGTTGTTGGACGCAACAAGAATTGGTCACCACGCTCAATGATGACACGGGACTGCCGCCATTTGAGACATTCTTGTTCTCCAAGTTACCACACTCGAACAAAATGTGGTCGTATACGAACTCTTAGGAGTTTTTCGGCTTGTCCATATTTTACACCCTACAAAAGGTCTTTCACGAAGAACCCTAAAAGGGTTCTTCGTGAAAGCCTGTAAGTGGTTCTTTTAAGCACCTTTCGATGCGAAAAAGCTCTTCATCGCCCAGTTGCCTTTTAATTGCTCCAGGTGGTGATAGTGCTTGAACCGAAACCGTTCTTCTTGAGCTGAAAGGGTTCTTGGGCCGCCGAAGAAGCTTTTAAGAACGGAATTTCTTTAGAGTGGAAAGCTGGTTCTCAAGGTGGCCCGCAACCTTTTCTCGCAACGTTCTCAGCATCGGGAAAATGACCCTGGGGCGCCATGCTGAAAAACCGCTCTGTTCCAGTACTCCTGTTCCTCCACACCCGAGGTACTTTGTGTCCCTCTCTATAGCGCTTGTCCCGTTTACTTCGTGTCTCTGTCTTTTTTACGCTATTTTCTATGTTTAACCTTTAAAATGAAATCAGAGTCTCCGGGGATCAAATTAATTACACCCTCTATAAAAGAATCGGGCAAAAAAAACGGAGTTCCGAAAAGTATTGATAAACACGACGAGAAAATCGCCTAGAACCTCCCAAAACTTGTAACAATACTCTGTTGGCAAGCCGTCAGGGCCGGGGGGAGAGCCGGTCGTCTTTGAACGCAAA